TCCCCAATGCTTCTGAAACCGGGATTCCAACAGATTTTTTTGAAAATTAAGAGCATTAATGGTGAATAAGGCCATACCCAACTGTTGGTGGGGGCTATTCCCCCTTTTTGTTTTTGTAATTGAATTTTTTTAGGTTTTGATGGTTGTGTTCTATAATGGCTTGACCTTGGGGATTGTAGGGAATTCCTGTATTGTGTTGAATTCCCCAAAGTGAGAAGAAATCTTGTAAATTTTTACTCACAAAACATGGTCCATTATCAGTTTTAATTCTTTGGGGAAATCCCAACGTAGCAAAGCACTTGAGAAAATGAGACTGAGCATGTTTAGGCTTCTCTCCTGTATGAGCGGTAGCCCAACAGGCATGTGAGAATGTGTCAATGGACACAAAAATATACTTAAGCTTTCCAAAAGGAGCATAGTGTGTGACATCCGTTTGCCACAAGGAATTGGGCTTGAGTCCCCTGGGGTTTACCCCTGGCTGTTGCAGAGGTGCTACCTGTAAGCCCTCTAGTCTGCCTCTGCATTGTCTTGGGATAAAAGCCCAGGCACTCCTTGGTGCCCGCTAAGATGCTGTAAGAAGATAGGGCCTTCTCTCTCTTTAAGGAGCATACGAGTCTGAATACTGTCAGAAAACAATGGCCATGAGTTCCTTGAATTGAGCTGCTTTTTGGTTTCTCCACATCTGCCTCAGTCAGTGAAAACATTGTAGGCTTTACTAAGGGCTCCCTCGGCCCAGGATTCAGTGAGTGCTGCTGCCCACGGAGCTGTAGCACTCGGGGGTGGGGTGGTTCCTTGGCCACCCGTGGAACTGAAGGGGTGGGGCCTCTCCCCGAGCCACCTTCCCCTGGGCCTTTTCAGCTTTCCCAGAGCTGGTTGCGGCACACAGCCAAAGGTGGTTTTGTTTTTTTGTTTTTTTGTTTTTTTGTTTTTTTTTTTAAAAATGCGCCTGGCAGCCGCCACACCACCAATTACCAGCCAGGGAGCGGTACCTGTCTGGCTTTCCCATGGGCCCCTGACCTGCTCATGTGTTAGTTCAAGGCAGGTGGGGTGGGTGGCTTTTGCCACCAACCCTGCGCGCTCTGCTCCACCCTGCCCTTCTGCCCGGGAGGCTCTGCAGCTGGCCAGGGCATGCCCGAGGTGCCGCTTGTTACTTTGGCTGCTTTTGGTTTCACTGCTGTTGCATCTCTGCCTTTTTCCTCAAACCCTTCCCATGATTCCCATGTCGGGGTTTCTGAAGGCTCGTCAGGAGGTGGCACCGAGGGCTTAGGGCTCTTGGGCCGAAAGCATGACTTTAAGGCTGAAATAATAGGGTAGAACTCCAGTGGCAGATTCACCCCCAATTGAACCTCCCTTTGTTCCACATGTTCGCCTGTATCCCCACTAAATACATTAGCCCCAAGTAGCCAGGAAGCCAAATGAATCGCCTCTGCCCAAACCTTTTGGACTACGGGATCTGACAAATCCAATCCCCTGCTTTTAAGCATATCTCTCAGCGTTTTAAGCGCCGTGTCTTCAAACTTAAAAGTTGCGTTACCCACATTTAGGGTCTTGCTTATCCTGAACCTCTTCCTTCTTTCTTTCTTCTTTTTTCTTTTCAACTTCCTTCAAGCACCACACTGGGCGCCAGTTGCCGGGGGTTTGAACCAGTGACCCCTGGCGCAGTGATAATTGGGGATGAGTAAGCACTCCGTTCACCAGCCCACGCCACCCCCAATGCCCGGGGACACTCAGAAGCAACGGGGAGTCTAGTCAGGCAGGGACTCATTTATTGCAGGTATTACAGAGCTTATAAAGGCATCTGGAACTACCCCCTCCCCCCCGAGGGTGTATCTTAAGGATGGTCATGCGTGCTGATCATGCACTCCTCAGCAGTGCGGAAGTATTCTTCAGACTTTCAAAGCAAGCCAGGCCACACCCCCAGTAACTTCCTTTGGGACCTATGCAAGGTCCCCACAAGAACAACATGAAAGCAAATTATATATGGTCATATTCTGTTCAGAGGAATATATTTTCACATTCACTCACATACTGGGAAAATATGTACTGTGTGCTTATAATGAGATACACACAGCATTAAATTTCAGTAGATAAAGAAAATGAGACCTTGCTTTTGTTTAGCTTCAAATCTAGTGGAGAAAAGGCACAAGCTCTACTTCCTGTGCCTGCTTGAAGATGTGAGAGTTTAGCTTCTACTCCTCCTCCAGCCACCTCTGCCCCCATGCCTCCCCGCCATGCTGGACTCTTGTCCCTTTGGAACCATAAGCTAAATAAACTTTTCCTTTTATAAGTTCCCTTGGTCATGGTGTTCCTATCACAGCAACAGAAAAGTAACTAAGACAGAAATTGGTACCAGAGAGTGGGCTGTTGGCTGTGAAGAATCTGACCATGTGGGGTTTTAGAGGAATATGGAAGACTTTGGAAGTTTGGGCTAGAAAAGTGGTTGACTGCTGTAAGCAGAGCCTGGAATAGGTGCCAGGAAGAAAGCAGTGCTGAGAACAATGCAGTTCCAGAGGGAAATAAGGACTTAAGCAGCAATTGGGATATTTTGGCAGAGTCTGGATGGAGTCTGCCAATAGCCAAAAAGTTTGCCTGAAGCTAAGTTGAAAAGCAGTGGATTAATTTCTCTGGTGGAGGCTATTTCAAGGCAGCCTAATGTAGAAATGGTGACATGGCTATTAATGGTGAATATTATGCAGATCTACAGTGAAAAAGAGCAAATGGGGCAGAAAGAAATGCAGAATGTACAGTTTGGATTGAAAAAGAGTACTAGGAAGAGATTAATGCTGGAGCCAAGTCATGTGCTGAAGGAGAAGATCTCTTAGACAAGGAGATGAAAGTGATTAAGGTAAGGCCTAGAGATTTGCACTTAAACAATGCAGAGAGTGCCTCCAGGGCAAGACCACACCGAGCTAAGTCTCTAACATGTGAAAGGAAAATGCAGCAGGAGTTTTTAGAAAACTACTGAAGAAAAAACTTTGAAAGTGGATAAAGCAGACTGGGATACATCCCAAACTTGCAGCCAAACTTGGCAGTGTTGTTCACATGGTGCTAGCTTTAGAGGCATGAAAGATGCAAGAGTGAAGGGGTCATTGTGAAGGACCCTAATTCAGTCCCCCTAGGCTAAAAACAAGGAAATAAGTCCTTCAGGCCAAAGAACTGTACAAAGAAGTAAAAATAAAAAAATAATTCTGAATGCTAAGAACAAGCTGAGCTGACCTTTTTCATGCTCTTTGCCCAAAGCTGGAAATCATCCCAGAAATCCCCCCCTACCTCTGCTTGGCACATAGCCACTGCTTTTTTGCTTGGCACATAGCCGCCACTTGTAACGTTACTGCTGCTTTCTCTCTAGTTTGTGGTCTTTGTCTTTAAAAGAAGCCTGTGAACTGGGCTCTGGGCTTCTGCCCTCCAAGTGAGGCAGGGGTCCGTTTTGCAAAACATAATAAATCCTCATGCTTGTTGCATCTCCTGGTCTGAGGACTGAGTTATTGGGGCGCGGCCTCCTATGGACGTTGGGTACCCCAAACTGGGGTTCCAACAATTGGTTCTTCCTCTGTGGTTTCAGAGAGTTGCCATGGCCAGGCAGTGTGCATAACGAAGGCCCTGATAGACCATTGTGTGAAGTTGTAAAGGTGAATCCTGGTTGGCAGTAGAGACCTCAAGAAAACATTTGTGATGCCAGAGCTGTGAGACATCTGCCAAGGAGAGCTGCATACAGAGTGGTACCAGCCCAAGAGAGAGATGTATGTTTCACACAGCAAAGCTGGAGAGGCTGAGCCATCTAAGCCCTTTAAGGAAGTAAAGTCCCAGAAGTTGGGACATGGAGCCACTGGATTTGGTGTTTGCCCTGCTGGTTTTTGGTCTTGTTTTGGTCTGGTATTTCCTCACTGTTCTTCTATTCCTCCCTTTTGGAATGGGAGTGTGTATATGATTCCACTGTATGTTGATAGTATATAATTTGTCTTTTGATTTTTTTTTGGTCTTTTTGAGAC